CAATGCATATTTGAACAGCAACCTTCGATAAGAATCCCTCATCATTCCAATGTTTGCTCTGCCAAGGCGTGGAATTAATCAGAGTTTTGTCAGAGGGGGGGGGGGGGGGAAACCCTGCAAACCCACACACAGGCACACACACACGCGTTAATCCATATGTTGATCGCGTCTGTATTAAACAAGGTCACGTTCGCTTCGTTATCTGTTGATGAAAGTGTCCATTAGTGGATATTGCTGAAAACTCATATATCTTTGTCTCTGGCATTGCTGAGACCCCGGGGTTCGGGGTTCGACTCTAGGCGAGTGCCCAAGACTAAGCCTGGTGCTCAAGTGCGGCGAGTTGATGGTTTCCAAAGCCTGCGGATAAAAAAAACACAAACATGACATTAAACGTTGCCTCGCACTTTACTTCGCTCAAAATTCCATCCCTTGAGAAGTACAAACATCGGGTTGACTTGTCACGTGATGAGCGGTACCCTGCGTGGCAGTGCGGGCTGGGAAAGTGGTGCCACGTGCCGTGTGAGTGAGAGGCCGCGTCGTCATCGTCGTCACATCGTCACATTGTGACGGAGCTCAAACCATGGTGCAGTTTCGTGCTCGAGCAGAGATCTTCACTGCAAGGCCCGCGGTCCATTGACGGCCCCTGGTGGCCTTTAGTGCGGCCCCGGACAAAACACAACACGTGACAACACCGCCTATCATTTCAGTTTCAGTTCATTTATTAGGTAGAGCCATGTGAGCCATTCGGCTCTTGAATCGGGTGCAAACGCAACAAACAAAATACGTGAACAAGAAACATCCTAAAGTGATTTTGATTTAAAGCTTTCGTGACTGCAGGGATTCATCTTCTTGGTTCTTTCGGTAAAGTCACGTAGAATGCAAATAATAAAATAATAAAAAGAAAACATTATAAAATAAAGTAATATAATAAAATAATATAAGAAAAATATTTATTTTATTATTTCCATTCTACGTGACTTTACCGAAAGAACCAAGAAGATTAATCCTAAAGTGACTCCGCGCATTACAGAAAAATCCAGGAAAAAAACAGCAACGTCTTCCAGAAAAAGCACCGCATATCAATGCTGTGCGCTAAAATCCCAGTGGGATGCAAGTCAAACAATAACATCATCATCGTCGTCGTGCTGCTCATCAACCCCAGTAGTTTCAAATGGTGTGACAACTCTCAACACGGATGATGTCTTATCGGCGAAAGTGACACCCCTCCCACCCCCCCACCACCTCTGAAAATGAGTGAAGAACGCTTTGCTAAGAGGGTGTTCTGCGCTCCATGTCACGGTGGACTTTCCAACCAGACATTCATCGCCGGGTCGTGTCGACGATATTAGGCAGATATCGCACTTTACCCCAGCGGCCCACAACCTGCCGACAAGCCGGGCGCTACGCGCTCGCACGGCTGTCCCTCCATCCACAATCGCCAGCCGTGCTCCGTGCCGAATGCCGATCAAGCGGCTTCACGTTGCGTGTGGAATGGAAGGGATGGCCCGTGAACAGTCGACTTGCGAAGGCGCTGCGTTGCACCGCACGAAGGGAGTTCGAGCCCCGGGTTTTCTCAGCTCGCCGCTACTTCTCTGCACGCGGTTTAGTTTGTGTGTGTACGTGTTGGTGTGCATGTGTGTGTGAGTGTGTGTGCTTGTGTGGGTGTGTGCGTGTGTGTGTGCGTGTATGTGCGTGTGTGTGTGCGAGTGTGGGTGCGTGCGTGTGTGTGTGCGTATGTCTGCGCGTGTGTGTGTATGTGCGTGTGTGCGCGTGTGTGTGTGTGTGTGCGTGTGTATGTGCGTGCGTGTGTGTGTGTATGCGTGTGTGTGCGCGTGTGTGTGCGCGCGTGTGTGTGCGCGTGCGTGTGTGTGTGTGCGCGTGTGTGCGTGTGTGTGTGTGCGCGTGTGTGCGTGCGTGTGTGTGTGTGTGTGCGCGTGTGTGTGCGCGCGTGTGTGTGCGCGTGCGTGTGTGTGTGTGCGCGTGTGTGCGTGCGTGTGTGTGTATGCGTGTGTGCGCGCGTGTGTGTGTGTATGTGTGTGTGTGCGCGTGTGTGCGTGCGTGTGTGTGTATGCGTGTGTGTGCGCGTGTGTGTGCGCGCGTGTGTGTGTGTATGTGTGTATGTGTGCGCGCGCGTGTGCGCGTGCATGTTTTTTGTTTAACGTGTTCACGCGCGTCGCGACCTGATCGTCTTCCTTTCAGCGCGCTCTTCCAATTCGCGCAGTAGTTTTGTTCGCTCGTGCGGATGCCGGCACGACGCCCCCCGCCTTGTCTCGCACCGCGAGCGGATAGGACAAACCCCGCGCGCTGCGCTTCCAGCGGCTGCAATTTTTACGCATTTTTTCGTATTAACTCCCGATCGCGCTCCGGACGTCGTGAGACAATAACAACAATAACAACAGCAACAACAGCAACAACAACAACAACAGCAACAACAACAAAATTGCGTTCGGCGGAACTCTCACGGAGAGCAGTGCGACAATGACATGAGTGTCTTTGCAACAAGACCGTTCGTTATTTATTAAAACTTATTTTTGTGTTTAGTTTGTGATGTTCTCTCCCCCCGCCCCCAGCACCTCCGATTAGCACGGTTGGCTGCGTACGGCGCGAAAGAAGTTCAACGTGCATAGAGAATAGCCCACGGAAGTAGATATCACAGGGCTGTCTCTGAGATCATTTCGAGTGAGCTCCGGTCCCCTGTAAAGTGCAACCGATGTCCTACCTACCCCGCTTCGTCAGAGCAATGCTCATAGCATGACGGTCAATCCAAAAACAATGTCACTATCACAAGACGCTGTTCAGCAGATGAAGTCCATTGGCGAATTCAATGCGATGTTTGTGTTTGTTTTGCCATTGGTGAGAGGGTGACCCATTGACTCGCCATGCTTGTGATTCTGTGCGAGTGCTGGGTGGTGTTGATGTTCACAGGTGTCTGTGTGTGTGTGCCAACACCGGCGATTGTCTGAACCGGGACTGCCCTAGGTCTACTCAGCCTCAAATGAGTACCTGGTGCGGTGTGTAAACATCGCCACTCGGGAGACAAAGGCGGTCGGGCGTGGTGCTGACTAACACACCCCTTACAAAGGTGCTCGCTAACAGCACTTGTCCCTTACAGTCTGTGAAGGATATACGGGGGATCTTTGTCTTTTGTGATGAATTCATATCCAGTGTTGAGTTGTTCACAAGAAACGTGTTGTCATCTTCTGCTGTGCAGAGGTTTCAGAACGCGATGATGTGCTATGTTGCGTGTTGCACGTGTGGTGCTCAAGCAAATTTTGTGCAAACCCCTCGAGAGCTGAAGAGACCAGAATGAGTCAAGTTTGCAAAACGAAAAAATGGAAAACGAGTTCTGCTCGATGTGTTTATGTTTGTTGCTGTCATACCCCTGCATCTCCGATGATCACGGTTGGCCATGTGCGGTGCGAAAGAAGTTCAACATCCATAATAGAGGTTTTTTTGGGGGTTAGATCGTGTAAATATATAAATGTGTCGTTAAACCCGCCACCACCCGACACAGCCAATTAGTAAGGATTGTCACGTAAACAGAACATGCCAATTCGTTATTAGTAATTCCTCAACATGCTAGTTGTAGTTACTGGCGAAACGTCGTACTCAGATTGTAAATGTTGTGGATTTACTCTCCAACACACCGTGTGCTGTACTAGTAACGAATTGGCGTTTTCTGTTTACGTAACAAACCGTATTAATTGGCTGTGTCTGGTGGTGGCGGGTTTAACGACGCATTTAAATGTACGTGATCTCACCCAAAAAACCTCGATTGTGAATAATATTGGTCGCGTGTTAAACTTCAATACGCAAATTAAATCAAGCACAGCAACGTAGCAAACACAAACCAGTGCAACAGCAACGGCGCCACGTAAGTAACCGAAAATAAAGCGAGAGCATAAATCGACGTTCATGAATCAAGTCCCATGTCGGGCGAATCTGCTCGGTAAAATCACAGGGCGCTTGAAAAAAAAACACTTCTGAGAATTTGGCACAAGAACCACGAGAGATGTTGCTGTTCCCGGGCTCTGGAGACCACCTCGAGATAAAATTCCAGGCACGCGCTGACGATGATGGCGAAAAAGTGGGAGACTACATCATGGGACCTCCTTTGCCAGTACCAAAATATGATAATAGGGTTTTTTCCACTTTTTTTCTGGCAACAAAAGGTTTCAGTTTGGTGTTTTAACATCTTAACACAGCTGTTTTGTTGCCAGAAAAAAAGGGGGGAAACTTATTATCATATCTGTGTACTGGCAAAGGAGGTCCCATGATGTAGATGCTCACCCCGAGCTCTCATTGATAGTGCATTGTCTTTGGGCTGTACGCCTTTTGGCGTCCTCTGGTTTAACACCGTTTGAGACGAGGCTCAAAAGAAAGCTGTCTCTGGTGTGGACCAATCAGTTTCAAAGACTATGCATACATTATCAGAGTACGTTTTTGTTTGCATTCTGACCACACGCATTCCTCGTAAAAGGTTTCAGTTTGGTGTTTTAACATCTTAACACCTGTTTTGTTGCCAGAAAAAAGGGAAAACCCTATTCTCAAGTGGGAAACTCTTTAACTTTTTGCAGCTATTAACATAACATCTGTTACCGTGTTACAGTGTATTGTCATCAGGGCCAGATTAGGGCGTGGGGACTTCCGCCATCTGGAGGGGCCTCCACAGATGATGTGAAAAGTTATTTCATTTGTGAATACTGAATTTTATTTGTTGTTAGCCTTGTTAAAATACAATTTTATTTTTCTGCAACTTTGTTTTCCCTTTGAGAATATTACTGGGGGCCTCACAGTAGCTGCAGCCCAGGTGCCTACAAAATCTGAATCCGGCCCTGATCATCATCCGTTATTTTCCCATTAAAAACTATAGCCCCGTACAAATGTTAACATTTTTTGAAGCACCGCGTTTTTCTCCCACTAACCCATCGCCACGATCGCCGCGCGAGGTTTCACGGCCGGCGTGCGATGCGCGGCGTGCCGCCTGTTTGTGCGTGCAGGGGGCTGGTGTGCGTGATGCACGGCGCGGGCGAACACTGCGGTCGCTACGACGAACTCGCCAAGACGCTCACTCGGCACTCCCTGCTCGTGTTCGGACACGACCACGGTGCGATGATGACACTTGCTGTGTCACTCCACTCTCTCGCACGCTCCATACTCGAGATGTTTGCTGTGACACTCCGCTCTCCCGCACGCTCCATACTCGAGATGTTTGCTGTGTCACTCCACTCTCCCGCACGCTCCATACTCGAGATGTTTGCTGTGCCACTCCGCTCTCTCGCACGCTCCATACTCGAGATGTTTGCTGTGTCACTCCGCTCTCTCGCACGCTCCATACTCGAGATGTTTGCTGTGCCACTCCGCTCTCTCGCACGCTCCATACTCGAGATGTTTGCTGTGTCACTCCGCTCTCTCGCACGCTCCATACTCGAGATGTTTGCTGTGCCACTCCACTCTCTCGCACGCTCCATACTCGAGATGTTTGCTGTGTCACTCCGCTCTCCCACACGCCTCAAATGAGTACCTGGTGCGGTGTGTAAACATCGCCACTCGGGAGACAAAGGCGGTCGGGCGTGGTGCTGGCTAACACACCCCTCCGGCCTTTAAAGGTGCTCGCTAACAGCACTTGTCCCTTACAGTCTGTGTAGGATATACGGGGGATCTTTGTCTTTTGTGATGAATTCATATCCAGTGTTGAGTTGTTCACAAGAAACGTGTTGTCATCCTCTGCTGTGCAGAGGTTTCAGAACGCGATGTTGTGCCATGCTGCTTGTTGCACGTGTGGTGTTGTCCATGTTCGAGATGTTTGCTGCGTCACTCCAGTCTGCCACACGCTCCATGCTCGTGTTCAGATGCGGTCACGGTACGAGCCACTTCCTCTGTGAATCAGCTCTCCTACACGCACTCTCCCACCTCTCCCGTCCCACCTCACTCTTCCATCATACGCACCCGATCCTACCTCGTGGCTTGCATCTCACTCTACTCCCCCTCCACGTACCCTGCACTCCATCAACCGAGACTTGCTACCGAAAGTGAACCTTGGCTCAGTGGAAGGCCGCTCATTCTCCACCTCTTTACTTCCCTATTGAACTAAAACACCGAGCTCACTTGCACCTCGATCTAACTTCTCATGGCGCGTCTTGCTCCCACATGTTTGCACTGTATCTTGAGATTTGCGTGTGTTTATGTCACCTATAGACTAATATACAGAGCTTACACGCACATATTCATAACTTCTTAATATTCATTCTAGATTTGAAGCTTTCGTGACTGCAAGGATTCATACTCTTAGGTTTTTCGGTAAAATCACGTGGGTAAAAATAAATAATAAAAGTAAAAATAATAGAAATAAAATTATAAATCACGACGTTTCCACTTGCGCTGTTTTTGACTCGCATGTGTTTCGTTTACGACCATTAAATACCTCGTTTGTGAGCTGTTCAATATTCATTAGGCAACATATGCAATTCATCCTCTACTTACGAACATTATGAGTTTCTGGGACATGTTCGTAAGTCGAATGGTTCGTAAGTCGGAACACTATGCAGTAATGTAATTCCCATACGGTCAGTGTTTAGAATTGTGTTATGGTTCAACAAAAAAGGGAAGCATTGTTAAACTAATAAATAATAAGAAATTGTGTACATTGTAAAAATTCTGTAGAGTAAATTAAACATTAAATACAGTGACATAAAGAGATGTTTTTCTTCAGTCTTATTTTCACTTACCTTTAGTCCTGATGCTGGCTTGCTTGTCGAAAGGTGCGCAATTCGTCACCACATTTGTACAAACATCAACGCACGCCTTGGCGTCATACAACAATAACCGAGCCTAAAGAGGCCCTTGCAGAAACAGAAGTAACCGAGCATGATTAAAACAAATTAGATGCACCGAGTTGCCCGGTGAAAAATATTCCCCTCTAGAACACGATTAGCGCGGCTAAGATGCTCGCAACAGTGAATAAACATTGTTTCAGGGCCGTTCCAAATACGAGGCCTCACGTGGCAGCAGACCAAATACAACGAAGTCATCAGCCGTGTCTTGCTTATGGACCATATTTTCCCCCAGTCCCGGTGCTAAACAATTGTCGATCTAACTCTCACCTTATCCATCCTTTTAGGCCATTGCTGTAATAGGCACATCGCCCACAGGGCCTCCCTCTTTCTATTTGCAGTCTGTCAAATCATTTGTGTGGCAGTTCAATGATAGGGCTGGCTCGCGAGACGAAGGGCAGTGTTGTTTTTTTGCCTAGCTAATATAATGTGCCAACATGTGTATTTAAAAAAATTGTTGCAGAATCCCCACCTTTGGGCAGGCATTGCATTGTTCGCGGTGAGCGATCTTTGGTAAGAAATGTAATTTTTGTTGCTTCAATTAATGCTGTTATCTCGTGAAGAACGAGCAATTGGAGTTTTGTACAGGAAAGTAATCAGGGTCTGCAGATAATTGAGAAACGAATTCGGCTGGCTGTCGCCTGATGATGCTGGTTGTAATTACTGGCGAAACGTCTTACTCAGATTGTAAATGTTGTGGATGGACTCTCCAACACACCGGTGGTGCTGTACTAGTAACGAATTGGCCACGTTCTGTTTACGTGACAAACCTTACTAGTTGGCTGTGTTGGGTGGTGTCGGGTTTAAGGACAACGCATTTGCCTTTGTACATACTTTTATTTCATTTTCCCAAAAATGCATTAATGTTGATCATTTTTACCAATTAAAAAATAATTATGCGATTATTCAATATAACGACTTGTGGGGAAATAACATTTTTTTTAACAGACCCATAATTATTCAGCACCATTAATGATCGGTAATTATCTGTAATTATCAACCTTGAACTCTATAATGCATTTTGCAAGAAAGTGGCACTACATCAAAGTCAGCATTTGTTTAAATCAATAACACCATCCAGTGTTATTTTGAAATACACCGCCTGCCTCTTAATAAACAATCAGAATTCATCACGATCAGGCATTACAGTCAAATTACATCCACTGCCATTAATCAATTGCGCTCTCAGTGAACGCAGCAGCAGCGGCAGCGCTGTTCAACTCCCAACGGCGGCACATCATTGTCAGCGGTGGCAGAGACGTGGGGTTCAATCCAGGTCACACAATTCGACGGCGAAAGTGAGGGATTGTTGGCACCAATGCCACACCAGGCCACCGATGCCAGACCAGGCCACCGATGCCAGACCAGGCCACCGATGCCAGACCAGGCCACCGATGCCAGACAAGGCCACCGATGCCACACCAGGCCACCGATGCCAGACCAGGCCACCGATGCCACACCAGGCCACCGATGCCAGACCAGGCCACCGATGCCAGACCAGGCCACCGATGCCACACCAGGCCACCGATGCCAGACCAGGCCACCGATGCCAGACCAGGCCACCGATGCCACACCAGGCCACCGATGCCAGACCAGGCCACCGATGCCAGACCAGGCCACCGATGCCAGACCAGGCCACCGATGCCAGACCAGGCCACCAATGCCACACCAGGCCACCGATGCCACACCAGGCCACCGATGCCAGACCAGGCCACCGATGCCAGACCAGGCCACCTCAAAGAGTCACACGCGTGTCTACTGCTCAAACCCGGCTGTGCCTGTTGTTCTTGCGACTGAATTGGAGTTTCTACATCATTAGAACTCCTTTGCCAGTACCAAAATAAAATAATAGGGTTTTCCCCTTTTTTTCTGGCAACAAAACTGAAACCTTTTGACGAGGATTCATGTCTGCATTAACCACAATACTTGCAGTCAAAACGCAAACAAAAAACATATTATGATAATATTGTGTGGACCAATCAGTTCCAAGGACAATGCATATATTATCATAGTATGTTTTTTGTTTGCATTTTGACTGCAAGTATTGTGTTTAATGCAGACATGAATCCTTGTAAAAAGGTTTCAGTTTTCTTGCCAGAAATAAGGGGATACCCTATTATTATTGAATTGGAGTAATTTCATTAATATTCAACAGTGGTCAGATTTGACTCTAAACACAAACACACAAAAACACAACAACAGCAACAACAATAACCGCCATTCGCCACTAAGTGGCGGTGACGTCACCACGGTGCTTGTGCCAGGCTATGTGCACGTTGCGACCACGTGAAGTGTCGAACGCCCCCTGGCAGGAGGTTACAGGACAGGCCCAGGTGCCACGGGTCGACTGACTGATCTGACTGAGACGACCGGCTGATGCACCACCTGTGCCCCCGACCGTGCCAACGTGCTCCGTTGTTATTGGAGGGCGACTGCCTCCAACTGCCCAGTAGCGTCCTTCACGAGCCTCCTTCACAGAAGCCGATCGTGACACCGCTGGTACCAGTCATTGGCAAGTCCACTCAGCTCCACATCCACTTGTACCACATCACTCCATCTCCTCTCGAGCCCGTGCCGCGGCCGTTTATCCCCCTCGATCTGGTCGCACAAAAGCTGTTTAGGCATGCGGTGGCAGGGCATGCGGGCTACATGACCCAGCCAATGACTGTTATCATGATGTCATGTAGGGCAATCTGTGCACAAACGCCACTCTCCTTCAGCATTTCGCTTGGGAGATGATCTCTGCCCAGTGCCTTTTCTGGTCCCAGACTCTGGATCGCCTTCAGTACTTCCTAAACAGATGGCACCTCAGCCAGCCACTCACAGGGGGTGACTTCTTCTACTCATATTTGAGGCACAGCAGCCTCAGCAGGGCCATCCCCACTTTGCCCCATGATGTTTTCCAGGCTGAGGGATTTCCCGTCATCTAGACCTCACAGAAATGGTAAGCAAATCTGCAAACCTGTACCTGGGGGTCGGAGTTTGGATTACCATTCTTTACCCTAATGATGGTAATAGGTGTGGTGCCGCAAGTTATTTTTTTATGGAAGTCAAGAGCGATTTGTGATCGCAGGCCACTGAGGCAGATTCAATCTCCTCAGCAAACCGCGACCACCACCCATCCTTACAGCGCCTTACGGCTCTCCAAACATCCGAGCAAAGGCTGCGGTAAGCCTCCTCATTCTCTGACGTGGGATGCTGTAGATGATGAGAGTGGGCCTGTCGCTTTTTCTCAGCCAGCCTGAACACCTCCTCTGTCAGCCAGGGTCTTTGG